GACCACTATGCTGTCTGGGAGTTCTGTTAATTTCAACCTATGACAAAAATATATATTAGATACATTAAATTTAAATAATTAAATTAAAAGATTTATTACCAAGTTTTTACAAATTAAAGAACATCTCTTATTTTACTTCAAAATAATTATTTACATTAACTCATTTTAAAGACAAAAATGTTCTAACTCCTCGTATAAGACAAAAATGTTTAATTACATAATGTTCTATCTCCATTGTGAAGTTTCAGGGTCTCATTATTGTTTTTACTGTATATTCTAAACATTTTATGAATGTAATTGAAGACTTTTATTCTTATTCTCTCATTTTATTCTAAGTGTTTTAAAAAATAATGAAAAATACACTAAAATTTATAGCATTATACTAACCCATTCCTATCCTCTTCCATTTCTATTGAAAGTTTATGGTCACATGTTGTGACGTTGCACTGTCATTGGTCAATGGACATAGAACAGTTTGGTTTTGATCAATTCAGGAGTTAGGGAGATAGAACAGAAAAGAATTGGTTATATCTTTAGTTTTATCATTTTCTGACTAAGTAATGCATGATGATAGAGCAGATTGTAAGGATTACAATGATATATAGAACTCATTTTTTTCAAAATTGGCACATAGAACAGTATGGTTCTCAGGCGACGATGTATGTACCGGTGTACCAGTGAAAATAATAGGATACTGTTAATCACAAATTTATCGAGATGGAGGAGGAGGGGTCTACTTTTCTTGATTTTCCTCCATAATTTATACATACGAGGGGTTATTAAAAAGTTCGTGGACTAGCGCTATAAATTAAAACTGCTTAAGGTATACAGCAAAGAGTTCGTACACATTTACTTAAGAAGGACCTCTACGACAAGGACGTATATATATATATATATATATATATATATATATATATATATATATATATATATATATATATATATATATATATATATATATATATTTGAATAAATTGTCAATGTTTTATTAGTAATGGTATGATCGTGGCGCAACCTTAAAATACGATGTATTTCTACAGTGAGTCTATCGGAGAAAAATCATTTGATTCGTTCCATAAAATATAGAAATTTATCTCGTTTTTGTCAATTTTTATGAGATCTTAATTTTATTTCAAATTCTATAGAGAGTGTTAAAAATTTCGCCGGAAAGGGGGGTGTATGTCATTTTCCCGAAATTCATAATTAGAAAGTTTCACTTAGGAAAAACTCGTATAGACTTTGAAAATGTTTAAACAGCGTTGAGAAAGACAACATGTGACGGCAAAAAAGATTTAGAAAGAGGAAAGACGCATTCAGTAGCGAGAGAACATAAAATTTCACCTTTTGATTATCCAAGTTCAAAATAGTCTTTCGTTTTTCATTGTAATGAATAAACTAGATCATTAAATCAAAAGAAAATGGAGACTTACGCAAATGTCTCTGTTTTACAGGGATAGTTTCGAATTCTAACGCGAGAGTTTTGCGTTTATTCGCGGAAGATACGCGTTTATTTGCGAAAGTTACGCGTTATAAAGCGAAAGTTTCGCGTTTATTTGTTATAACGTGAAAGTTATGCGTTATAACGCGCAAGTTATGCGTTATAACGCGAAAGTTTCGCCTTTTTCGCGAAAGTTACGGTGAAAACGCGTAACTTTCGCGTTTTAACGCGAAAAAACATTTTTTTTTTACTCATGAAAATGAGCTCAATGGGCTTTTCACAAATACCAACCTTGATATTTCACATGGCCGTAGGATCCTGGGAGGGGTGCCCCAAATAAATTTGCCGATATATAGTATACTATGGAAAACAAAGCTACTTTATGGATGTACCCCCCTCAATGATTACGTCTGATGACCCTTTATTTTGCTTGTCAAGGAATTTTTGCTTGGTAGTGCCCCCCCCCCCCCCCCCCCCAACTGAAATTGCTTCCATGGGCCTGTTTTAGAAAAATTAATACAATCTTTTGAAAACGATGTTGATTAGATTATCTTTGCTCAATCATAGCAGATTAGCTAATAGCAAAATATTATACTGAATCTCTGACATTACACTGATCTATCTACAATGGAAATACTGTGCAATGACCTAAACGTTTTGCTCCACTGTAAAATAGCAAAGAATAGTATTTACATGTACATGTATATGTGCTGTGTATTTGACTGTAACTATTTATATACATATACTAATCTTTTAATGTTGTTCAATTGTTTCTTTTTATTAAACATTTGTCAAAATCCATAGTCTCCAAAGTGTTTTGACTTCAAGGGTCTTTCCCTGCACTGCATATTATGAGGTGCCGTTAGATTGCCGTGTAAATGTCTTAAGCAGTGTCTCTTCCATCATTGAAACATACAATGATGTGCAAATCAATAATACAATATTTAATGTACTTAATCCTTCTTTATATGATTATTTATACTGACATATTAAATATAAACAATAAATTGTCTTTCTTAGGAATTAACGCTGCGGCTATTGCTTACGCGGGTTATGTATTTTTTCTGCAACAGATGCAACATTAATTCCCATGCTAACAACCAAAAAAAGCATTTCATTGTTTACCGATAATTGATACCACTTTTCGTAGATTATATAAATAGTGCATGACAATAAATAACAAAACGGTACTTCATGTATGTATCAGCGTTCAGACATCTTTAATGAAAGAAATCTTTCCTGGAAAACAAATGGCATACCGAAAGTTTAACTTACCTTTATTAATCTATAACTTGTTTTTTAATTTCATTAATATTATGGGAATTAAGTGATATTGCCAATTAGAACTGATGGTATCACAACCCGTTATAGTTAGCATATACATGTGACATCACTTGTAAATGGCAGTAAGCATACGCGGATCTAGGGATTTTTTTTTCCAGGGAGGGGGTTTGACCAAAAAAAAAAATAAAGACAAGAGTACCATGGGCTACAACGCTCACCTGAGTAACTCTTTTGACCTGCTCTTCGTCAGATTTCCCCCTTGTAATATGTATGTATTGTGGCCCCACCCTACCCCCGGGGGTCATGATTTGTACAATTTAGAATCCAACATTCCAAGGATGCTTCCATATAAGTTTCAGCTTTTCTGGCCCAGTGGTTCTTGAGAAGAAGATTTTTAAAGATTTTTCCCATATATTTCAATGTAAAACTTTGATTCCCAATTGTGGCCCCACCATACCCCCGAGGGTCATGATTTGAACAAGTAAGAATCTACACAACCCAAGGATACTTCCATATACCGTATATACTCGCCTGTAAGTCGTTCTTTTGGGAGTTAAACTTTGGCCCAAAACTCTTTATCTGACTTGTATGCGAGTTATAAAAAGATTGGTATTTTAGCAGGTCAATCCCTCTAATTTAAACTAAAAAATACAACCCACTTATAGGCGGTCCAGCTTATAGGCAAGTATATATGGTAAGTTTCACCTTTTCTGGCCCAGTGGTTCTTGAGAAGATGTTTTAATGACCCCACCCTATTTTGTCTTTTCTTGATTATCTCCCCTTGTAAGGGAACTTGGCCCTCCATTTTTACAATTTAAACTCCTCTTCACCAAAGGATGCTTTGTACCAACTTTGGTTAAATTTGGCCCAGTGGTTCTTGAGAAGAAGTTGAAAATGTGAAAAGTTTACAGATGGATGGACAGACAACAGATGATCAGAAAAGCTCACTTGAGCTTTCAGCTCAGGTGAACTAAAAAACCAAGGAAGGGAGATATAGGACAAGTCACTTTCCTTCATATATATAAATTATATCAATGACTCTCCTTACCATTTTACTAGAGATCCATGTTTTCTATGGGGGGTCCATGTTTCTAGGGGGTCCAAGCTCATCTTTCTTTACTGTAACCCCCCCCCCCCCCACACACACACACACACACACCCAATCTCACTAGATCTGCACATGGTAAATACCAAAACAGCTCCTCATAACCAGAAGATACGGTCATTATTCAGATTTCACTTTCAAATATTTAATGACAGTCAAACTTGCGTTAAATATTAAGTGACCAATATACATTTTCATGTTTACAAAAAAAGAAGAAATTATCATAATTTTGAAATTTATTGATTTATTAATAATTTAGGGTTTTCTTCTTTAATAAATTTTAATATGTCATTGAAACCAGTGCTTGGCATTGTTAAGTAAATGTATTAATGATAAAATATTACAAGAACAAAATGCAAGTATTATGAACTCCTCAAATCTATCATTTTATCATAACTTTTTGTTGTCATTATAAACCTACACATTATGTTGACAAACTAGAGTCGCACAATAGATCATTTTTAGCAAAAATTTGGTAAAGTGCACGTAATTTAGAAATTGAAAAAGGTAGATACGTTGAAAATAAAATGATAGGTTATGTAAAGTGTGTCAAAAACCTTGAAATTGAGGATGAAAAACATTTCATTTTGCTCTGTCTGAAATATGAAATACAGAGAAAAATATTCAAGGCAAAATTATATACTTTCCCTTATTTCAACCAAACAACCCATAATAATAACAATTTGTTGAGTAATTAATGTTTTAGCTATAAATGAGTAACTGTTAATATGGAATTATTTAGGATCTGAGGAGTACACTACATTATTTTCTACACCAATTATTTGTATTCTAGTTGTGTTCTACTGTATTATCATGCTGTTCTTTATGGGCCGGCCTTTACCAATGACTGTAATAGTGTTTGTGCCAATAAAATATTTGATATTTGATTTATATATATCGTATATTAAATGAAATAAGCCCTATTTGTATTGAAGGCCAAAGGGTTCAAAATTCCTCATGTAACCATGCTTAATTTGGGAACTGAAAATTATATGAGGACTGATCCAAAAGTTAAATAATGTTACTAGTGCTATAAAATCATTAGAAATAGGATGTGATTGAGAAAATTTTATATGCTAATATTTTTATATACATTTATATTTGTGACTCCTGCATAAAAATTTCATCAAGATATATGAAATGCTTTTTAAAAATATAAAAACAAACACAGAGTAAGATTATGCAACATTTATTTAATGTTGAGAAGGTACCGGGTAATTACAAATGTTAGATTTATAACCCCCTTTTTTACAGTTGAAATTCTAATATAAACTGTTTTAGAACACATCAGATGGTATTATTCCTATCTAACAACTGAGTGTACTGTACTCAAGATTTCATCCAAAATATGGTTCCTGTTTTCCATGGTGACCTGTTAAGATGGAAGTAAATAGATTCAATGTCAACCAGAAAACACAATTGATATTAATTATATAAATGTAACTTCTTCATCCAGTAGTCAAAATATTTCATAAAAAAAACTATATTCACATTAAACTTATTTAAAATAAACATCTGAATGTTGGTGAACCTGTGAACAGTAGTTTGATGTGGCATTTTGATAAATTGCTAAAATATTGCTTTCTTTCAATATTTATTTACAAATATAACCTGTCAAATATGCTGCTATGTTGGGTCACAACACCCACTTGAGTCAATATATTTGTCAAAAAATGAAACTTTTTATTGTAGCCACCAAATATCTGATTTTATTACATTTTCAACAGTGAAATACTGTGATTTATTTATTGAATAAAAGTGATATTCTCTCACAGTGTGAAAGGATACCAAAAATGATATTCTCTCACAGTGTGAAAGGATATCAAAGTAAGTAAAAAATAATTTCTGGCCTTTCATAAGATAGAGATAGTAACTAAGCATCTTGATAGAGCTAAAACTGCAAATTTCTTCCTAAATATGTTGCTAAAATCCATGCTATGTAATGTTTTCAATCTGACACACAACTTCTAAGCTATGACGTCTCAACCGCTCAACTATGACGTCAAGCCTATGACACTGTGTTAAGAAAAGACAGAGGCAAAGGGAAAATCAAAGAAAATGTAATAAACAGAAAATTCAATGTTTTGTAGATGAATATGGAATTTATTTCACTCGTGAGACAGGATTTTTTTTTATATTTTCACTCGTGCTTCGCACTCGTGAAAATATCAAAAAATCCTGTCCCACTCGTGAAATAAATTCCATATTCATCTACAAAACATTGAATATCCTCTATATACTCATTAATATCCTGCTGTAAATAAAAAAAGAATATTATTTTAAAGAAGCCTGCACAGCTGCATTGTTTACATTTAAAATTTCTATGCTTATTCAAAAAATAAAACCAGTTAAATGAATTGAACTTCCATGAATATTCTTAGAATTCAACAGGTCGGGGAATCTACCTTATATGGATATTGTTGTAATTGCGCACAGAGGTGTTTACAGCGAACAATGGTCCAATCCAATGAATGAGCCGAAAAGCATGATGGTCTACTACATGTTTAAATTTTACTACAAACACGTGGGTCAGGCAAATTTAGGACGCGATTTCAAATGACTGCGGGAAAGTCAACTAATAATTATTTTGAATGTTTTTTTTTTTTTTTGTGAAAAACACGAAGAATAGGTTCTAATTAAGATTTTCCATGCTCACATTAAGAAAGTCAATTTTCCGTGTTAAATAGTACGTTGAAATACCGCTCACAAAGTCTTCACAAGAAAATAAGAACCCAGTTTTTATAACTTGATATTCGTATATTCGCCATGCTACTGGTGTTATTCGTTGTTACTTTGTTATTTGTTTACTAGAAATTAAAAGTTAATGCATTTATAAAAAAAACGTAAGTCTATTGCTGTACGGTATTTTAATTCTCAAGCACATTGATCATAGAACGTGTATTAAGTAGCATATATATAGAAGTTGTATACATAGTAAACAATGACAATACGTGAGTACACCTCAGAGTCGATTGTTTTGGACCAGAAAATAGTCACGTGAAATTCATATTCACTGATAGTACAGCACGGGAAAAGCTGAAAGGAAATTGTCAACTAACGGACTTGTACAATGGAGTGTATGAAACCCATATTTTAACGTTGTAAAACATTATTATGTAAATGTGAGCATGGAATTGGTAGATAATGTTGTACATATTGTATTAAGAGTGTAAAATGCTTGGAAAAATGCATCCTGTCTTTCCGAGAGCGATTTGAAAAATTAGCCTTTTCGAAACGCACATGTAGTATTTTTGTAGTAACCCATAATGCAACTCATTTAGCTGATTGGTCGGTTTGTCAGTCACGTTGGTGCCTCATTTAGTATGTAACTTTATTCTGACGTCACAGAAAATAGTTTCCTCGACCTGTTCAATGACGATATTTTTTTTTACATCACGTCAAACATGTTTTTGTAAACAGGGCACAAGCTCTGAGTAGTATAGAGTGATGCAAAATAAGCAACTTTGAGGCGTGAGGCGCAAAATGAACCCGACGTGAACCCGGAAGTATAAACGTAATCCGGGAAACAACTCGATCATGTATTGATCAAGCTTCTTGAATGAGAGATTATAATTAGAAAACATAATTATATTATCTGTATTATAAGCGTATATTTGATTTAAAAGAGTGAAAATGAAGAAACGAGTTAATTTTAGCAAACAAATTTCTATTATAAATATTCTTTATGAAGTTTGCGGGGGGAGAAAATGCAGAATGAAGTAGATGGATAGACGTCGCTTCAATTGACGAATTGAAAATGCATCAAATATTTTTGAATCGGTGTTGATGAAACAATTTCAGAAAATATCTCTTGAATTTGTTAGTTGTATTCGTGTTAGTTCAATGACAACATACAATCATAAGATCGAAAGCCATACTTTTACAGTCATGATTAATCAATGAAAACACAAAACTATTAAGATCGGAAACTACGTTTCCGACTACACGAGTGGTGATACATTTATTTTCATTTGTATCTTGAGCTCAACATTACATTGTTTATATTTATATCTGTACAAATAACCATCAAAAGAAGGATACAACAGATTAAACATTGTATTATTGATATGTCCGTCATTGTACGATTAATTGATGGAAGAACCACTGTCCAGGAAATCTGTACAGGTGATATGCTAAGTGTTGTTCACTGCCTAATTAACGGCAATGGTTTGGATAAAAAAATATATATCTAATGAAACAAATGAGTGATGTGAGTTTTTCATTACTTATGCTAAGTCTTTTGAATTACAATCCAATAAAAGTACATGTAGACCGAGATTACACATATACATTGGTTTAAATTACTTTTTTTTGCACACATATTCGTGAATGGGAGGAGGGACTTCTTATAGCATTCTATCTAAATGTGTATATCATCCAATGTTTATAACGTAGAATTACGCACTAAGGTTTTATTTAGACACAGTCCGGTTTGAAGGGTGACCGACGTAAATGCTCGACAGCCAGATAATGATACTAATTATGATAAGTAAAATAAAACAATGTCAGTTTTAAATAATGTCATTATTTGCTATTAATTGATAAATAAAAGATAGAATAATTTATTTGTAATCTTCAGTTCTAATCTCCCTAAAATGTACTGTGTATAACTACCCCCATCAAACCTACCAGACAGACAAATATACACATGACATAACACCCAGACGCATGCAGCTGGCCCTTTTAAAATAAGAGGTTTTAGGTCCTCATTATTAACTATATTTACATGACCAGTAATGAATCTATATGTAAAACAACGATACATGTATAAGTCCCTACACTGACAAACAGTTCTACACTCTGGCATACACACCTTTGCTCACGGTCATTATAAAATCAGACCATTTGATAATCATGAGTAAGACCATGAACCATGAATTGTGAAAATTGGTTATATAACAAGACATATCTAATTTGTCATATAAATTTATTGACTATGTATATTTTTTAGTGTGATGCATGTATTTTACACAATATGTAAATACATCTTCATCATAACATGTCAATTTGATAATAAAGAATTAGATTTAAACAGACTTTGTTTTATTGTTACACAATGTAAAAATCACTTGTACGTGAATTATTCATCCCTTTCCCCGTCGTCAGATTCTTCCTCGGAATGATCCTGGTAAAAGCTGTCATCAACCTCCAACAACTGATCAAACTCATGTCTATATTTATTAAGAGTACGGGAAACCGCTCTTTCCAGATTTATATCCTTTTTCTCCATAAGGGTTGAAACATCTTTCTTGATGTCGCGATGGAGTTTGCTTCGATTCAATTGCGCCAAAATTAAAAGAATTCTTTTGTATTTCTTAAAAAGTAAGTTTCTGTCTTTGGGTAACATCATTTCGCTTACTTCCTCTCGAGCTTCCGTTTTGGAGAGTTTTGAATTTTCCTCCATAAGCTTATAAAAATTTTTTTCGAACTGAGATTGATTTACCTCCCATACTTCATTGACTAGAGTAGCGAATCCTTTGTCATCATCTTCGTCACTGACGTCAGACATGGTGTCGTTTTCATCCGTATTTTCTTCCATTGGGCAACCATTTTTGATATGACGCTGTAAATCGTATGAGCTGGCATACATGGTTCCGCATTCGGCGCACGATGGGTATTTCTCGTCAAAATGCATATTTCTCGAATTAAGTTGCGAAGGCCAAGGATAGGTTTTAAGATTATCAGCAGCTCCCATTGGTTTTCTTTGATAATACAACATATCTTTTTCATGATAATCCTGCATTGGTTTCTGAAAAGGCATCTCTATGGAACGCCATAGCTGCCTGAAGGTCATTTTCATATTATATGAGGTGGAATAACCTTTATGTGAAGTGGTGAAGTCATTATATATAGTGGTAAAATCATTATATTCAATGAAAACTTTATTATATGCAGTGGTTTTATCATTATATACAGTGATAAAATCATTATATTCATTGAAAACTTTATTATATGCAGTGGTTTTATCATTATATACAGTGATAAAATCATTATTTTCATTGATAACTTTATTATATGCAGTGGTTTTATCATTATATTCAGTGGCAATGTCATTATATGTAGTGGTTAAATAATGTAATGAAGTGATAATATCGATACATTATGTTGTAAAATCATTATATGCAGTGGTTCTTCAATTTTATACATTACTGATATCTTTCTGTGATGTGATGAATTCAATATATACAGTACAAACATAATTTGTGTGATAAAGCAATCATTACATTGTATGAAACCCGCTGCATGTGGAGTGCCAAGTTAATTTCATTCAGTGCGACACCTTTACATGAAGTGAAAAATCTATTATGTGCAGTACTAACATCATTATATTATATAGTAAAATTATTATATATATTCCTTAAATCATGCTTT